GTCAAAAGTCAAGCAAAAATTGGACTGATATTGGGCACTATTTCAAGCACAATTTTTTGAGACGTAAATTGTACCTATAGCTCGTTCGATATTCGCGCACTGAGGTGAGTATGCTGGGCGTAGAACCTACGCCCAGCATACTCACTGAACGAAGCCTATAACTCCGAAGTTATTCGAGCACTGTTTTTTCTTTTTGGGCACCGTTTGGCACTATTTGGGAACTATTTTTTGAAGTATGAATTATGTTTGAAGCGTATACAGATTCTCCGGACGGAGGTGAGTATGCTGGGCGAAACCTTCGTCCAGCATACTCATCGAACTATGGCTATAACTTCGCAAGTACAAGAGCACTATTTTTTTCCTTTGGGCACTATTTAGCACTATTTCAGAACAGTTTTTTGACATTCATGAAATATCAGGATTCCATGGTGAGTATGCTGGACGAAGGGACACAGATTTAGAAAATACTTGTCTGTAATACCCGCAAATACTACAGCAAGATTCTGTTGTGGTGGGGTAAGTTTGCATTGTCGTATATTCTGATTATTTTACTTAGGGTTAGCTGCATTTTCATCAAATACTTAAGAACAATCTCCTGTTGTTGTTGATGCTCCGGCGCAGATGGCGCAGCAAAACTTATGTGGAGTTGTTTGTATAGTGTATTTTATTGCATCCAGCGAATATTTAATATTTTTTGGGCAGGAGGACGGCGCTGCATACTGAAATTCCTCTACTTCTTGGCGAACGTGGTCGCTTTTAGTCAGAGTCTGATACTCCCTTCCGCCTCACCCAAGCGGGAAAATGCATTCAATGATTTCCCCTGCCTTAAAAAACACCTAGGTACAATTACATAAAAACATAAAACTTAGGTACAAAACTTATTTAACTATTAATAAAATCGTATATCTCTAGAGTGACACTTTTTAACAAGTTCAGGATTCTTATTGAGTAGGTATGTCATGAAAATCTTCGCAACTTCTCATATTAAATTTAAGTACAAGCAGAGCACGTAGTATTTTCACTTTTAGTGACGATTTTTCCGATCTTCATTTATTCGCGCTGTTGTTAGTGCGCGTGTTGGTGTCGTGTAGTATGAAATAAAAAAAAGGAATGGGTATGCGGGACTTGCGGGACGCTTCTGACGTTTTACGGGACTATTTTATAAACTATTTCGAAGCGGAATTACATCTAGCATTACGGGACGGTCCCGCAGAATACGGGACGGTTGGCCGCCTATATTAACCCCTTTATACAGTATAGATGTTATTTCCTGAAGTATTATTGTAATAATAATAATTAAATACTGTATTATAAGCTTCTGCATAAAACCTCGTCTGTGTAGAACAGTGTCTTTAAGATTAAGACAGATTTTTTGTTCCCCAAAAGAATTTATCTTTATGTTGCCCTGGTTATAAGTGTCATTCAAATTCTATTTTTCCGAAGATTAGCACGGGCAAACAGACAAACACACCAACAGATGTTTCTTTTTTCAAATTGTATTACTGTTTCACTCCTATGTATATGCGATGAAAAAGTAAAAAAGAAAAATCCTATTTATATTTTACTTTTTTTTTATTTGCATTAATTTATTTTTTACTTCGATAGGAAATTTATCTATCGATTCATTAGCACAACTTAAACAATATACCTTTTTATAGAATAAACTACATTCTTTATTGACACAAACAGGTTTATCACAAATCGAGCAGTCAGATCCAAGAACCAGTATTTCTCCCTTTCCCGGTGGACTGAAGGGATCTTTCATAACATAACTTGGATATTTGAGAACTATATTGCGAGAGAAAGGGGGATTTGTTCCTTTGTAATGTGGTTTTTCATCAATTCCACACAATATACACTTGAAATCATAGACTGTTTGCTCTTCCTTTGGTGCAGACACTTCCATAGTGAAAAGCTGAAAAAAAAAATACATTTGGTTAATAAAACATTTCAGAGTAGAACATATACAATTGGTTTGGAGGATGTTTTAGTTAATTTTCTAATGAACATACAGATCATCCATTCATTAACTATTACTAGATTATGGCGAATGAAGTATGTACCTAATGAAGCTCTTATATTGTCCATTTCAAAATATACCTACATTAACATAAGCTCACAAGACATTGTTTATTTTCTTTAATTTGAATCTTCTGCCTCATATTCAGATTTAAACATACTATGCTTTTCTTTAGGAGCCTCTATTGGCCACCAATGTGGCCGCACAATGTCAACAGGTGTTGTCCCAACAAACAAGTCCTTAGATTCAAGTGCTTCCTTTATTTTAACTAATCCTATTCCATAATCACATGATTTATTTTTTAACTTTCCTATTTGAATTCTTCCAGGATCGACACTGGCATAGATTGGAGCATCTCTTTCAACTGATTGACAATCTGTGCAGTCCAAGAATTGTAAAGGCATTAGTCTTTTCCTGACAACACCTGTGTGGTGAATGCGTGCTGTTAATTCTTGACCAATGTAACAGCCTTTGTGAAAACTTATTCCATGGAGGTAGTCACAGTTAGATTCAAGAGGAAAAGCAGTTCCGGGGAATAGATCATCTGCCCCCTCGCTTACACCCAGTTTATACCTCAAATTATGATAGTCTTCATCAGTGTGTTTAATTACTGTGTCTTTACCAATAGCAGAGTGCAAATCGAAATTACCAATATCTGAAGTAGTTATCACTCTAAATCCAAGGTCAGCAAGACGTGGATCTCTGTATACACTAATACTGTTTAGAATATCAGTTTTACATATTTCTTCAATATCTAATGGTGTTATCAATGCCCATAAGGTTAATAGTTGACTTGCATCTGATATTTTGATATCTTTCTTTAGTTTGTAAATATTTAGATGTCTTTGTAATAATCGATTAACATTTTTGTCACATTCTATCAAGAATGTGTTGTCGCCTCCCCATTTATGTAATAAGGTATCATATAAAATTCTGCCCTTGTTATTTAAAAACATAGCATACATTGATTGTGCACCTTCTTCAAAATGCTTCATGTCATTCGTGATAAGGCCTTGAAGGAATTGTGAGGCTTGTGATCCGCTTACTTTTATTAAGCTCCGGTTTTTTAATGGATATAACACTTTTGATGAATCCTCAGACGTCGATGAAGACCTAAAGAAATTTCTAGACCATTGGTTCCGAAACGTAAATCTATTTAACTGGCTCGTAATCATGATGAAATTATTTCAATAACCTCTATTAATTTAAATTGATCTAAAGTTACACTGGTATCAGATATTCAGAGGAAATTTTCACATACTTTTATGTTTTTTTTTCCAGGGATGACAATGACAACTGACGTTTGTGTATATTTTTCAGATTTGTGACGTGTCTTTATTTTTACTTTTCTTCAGCTTTCTTACTAGAATGTCACTTCTATCAGGTGCTATGTTATCAAAAACAATAACAAATACTAAATAATCAATTCTTTAACTCTTGAAGTGCGGGTGACAGCAACTGCCAAGCTGACAGACATATTAATCAGTCACTGTCAAAATTCAAAATAGCGACTTCTGATTGGGTGAACGAAATGTATCTTCACCCATAGATGTAAAAAAGGCCCGTGGCTGAAGTCGATACTTTCGTAGATCGATCTAGGGATGAATTCGAATAGTAACTTGTGGAATCGATAATTACACAGCAAATGTCACAAATATGAAATAATATGTTGAGTATGCCGATTCGGAGTCGCGGAGAACCTAACGGGTAACCGGGGCTCCGGCTCGACGTGCAGGAGAAGGAACGGGGTGGTTTTTAGTCAGTAAGAGTCTGACACTCCCTTCCGCCTCACCCAGGCGGGAGCAGTCATTCGATGATTTTCCCCGCTTAAAAAAAAAAAAAGTACGTTGAGTATGCAGTATTGATGTTACAATTAGTTACAAATCTATTGCACCGGTAATGAGTTACATAAATGTGTAACGACTTTATGATTATTTTGCTTTAAAGATGAAACGACAACTCACTTCTCACCGATGATAATTATTCTCGAGATAAGACATTTAGGGGCAGCTTACAAGCTACAATTGGAGATGTAGCCATGTAGCTAAGAGTGCAGGTTAGAGTTGTTATTTCTTCAGAAAGTCTTAAAAAAAATGTATTTTACACTTCTAAGCCAAGCTATCTTCAATGACATAAATAATTATTCCATATTTAGACACATTGTATAATGTTAAGGCGGCACATGAACAGACAGATTTCTAAAAAAAACTATTATATGGGGGCATGGGACTGGAACTTACAATACAAGTCCTCCCATGTAATAGTTTGTTATAAATAACAAAACATAACTGGCGATAAGTACTTAGTTGATACTAGAGACTTATCTCCACCACTGCATATCCCTTCGGCGATTAGAAAGAAGGAAACTAGTACATCAGCCACTTCATATGTTTTTGCGGTTTTATTAACCCTTAATCAACAGAAAAGCAGTTAGGGAACCCACCTTAAGAATAAACAACCAATAAAATTGTTAAGAAACGTGCTTTCTCCCTTACTTAACCGGTCGTGTGTCTAAACGTGGATCTACGCGAGACACAATGTATTTTCTATTGTGTCATATCGGTGCTTGAAACTCGCCTTGCAAGTCATCTCGAAAATGAATCTCGCTTCGATTGTCATCTCGCCTGAACAAGTTTCTATATTCACATTTTTGCAATGTGAAGGTTTCGGGAGCAATGAATGAGGCGTGGTCTCCATATAAACTTATATTATACTCTTTGATTCACATTTCTTATGATCAAATCAAAGTCAAGTGAAGTGAGTTTCAAAAATTCGAGGGTAGGCTATGTGTCTTGTTGTTCATATCGATTAATAATTAATAAATTCAATGAGCTTGCTTGATTTTGAGCAGTTTAATATTTACAAATTTTATTTGAGATAACAATGTAAAGCTATTTATGTTGAATGCTGCAAAATCGCCTTTTCTTATTCACTTTCACTTATTCACTCGTTTCATAATGTCAAATATCAAATGCTAATCTGTCAAAGTAAGATAAAAGAAAATACTCCTAGTTTACTAGTTACTACTCATTTAAATTTACGATTTAATGCTCTTGCTTGTATAGTCAACGTCATGTTTATGTTTACAAACAAACAGTACCTACACACATAAATTATTTCCCGCGATTTTTCTGTAAAAGAAGTGTGTAAGAAAATGAAGTAGGTACAAGTTCTGTGATAATTTGTTATTTGTCTCGATATATTCACATTTACTTATTTAGTTGTTAATCCTCTATTTCAGTGTCGAGCGTACTTCTCATCCATCTGTGGCCCAAGTGGAGTGGTTAGTAGGTTGGTTAGAAAGGAAGCCCAGCTTGGCTAAGGGATTCGCCAAAACTCCAAGCGGTAGGCTGGCAGCTAGCCATGAGTGGGATCGCATCACATTAAGACTTAATAGTATAAGAGGGACGCTGAAGTCGAAAAAACAGTGGCTTAAGGTTCGTTTCAGCTAATTAGTTATACTTAGTTTATTTTATTTTATTCAAGTTTGGAAGAGCTATGTTTCGGTACGAATGGGTCAGCTCGACTGGAGTGATACCACAGCCTCGCAGAAAACCAACGTGAAATACTACTTGCGTTGAGTTTCGTTGTGTGAGTGAGATTACCGTTGGCAATAACTCTTCCTGTCCAATTCCCGAATCCCCAACAATCCTCAAATTCCTAATCCCCAAAAGGTTGGCAATGCATTGGTAACACCTCTGGTATTTTATATGTAGGTATACAAAATACCAGATGAGGTGGCGATTGCTAACCATCAGGTGATCTGTCTGCACGTTACCGGCTTGTACCATAAAAAACAATGTATATTATTATATTATTTGTTGTATCATGCGTTGTTATAAAATTATTATTAGGAATTACTGCATTTCCCATTACAGTACTGGGCTGACAAAAAAAGTGCAGTAAAGAAGAAAGCTGCTGCACGCGCTGCTTTTATAAGTAGTACAGGCATGGTCAAGGTAGAAGAAGGTGAAACACCACCACAGCTCTCTAATATAGAAGAGCGTATACTGGTGCTGATGGGTGGTGAAGCATTTATTGCAGGCAACAGACTGTTACAAAATATTAAGGTTGTAAGTATTTAGTGTAAATTATATATCTTTTACATAGTTCTTAATAAAAACACATATGATGGGTGGCCAGTAATCAATCGCAACCATTAGAACAGTTGATTGTGGCAAGGAAAAAAAATATAGATAGACAGACTGCACAACGTAATTACGAACTACTTAATAACAGCATCATCTTGTGGCATTTTTCAATACGTTTTATGCTTATGTACTAATTAGGTACTGCTGTTTCATTTAAGATTTCAAGAAGTATGTGAGTTGCAGATCGCACAGCTCACAGCATTTTGTTGCTAAAAAGTAGATCTTATATCTAATCAAGTTGGCGACCCCTCATCTATAAAATTGTTTTTACAGGAACCTTCACAAGATAGTGGCTTCATTCGGGCACCAGTTACGCAGTCCAACGGCACCTGCCATAGTTTAAGAGTGGTACCTCCAGTTAGTGTTTTAATTGAAAAAATATTTCCATTCATTCCAATGTTCCAAATTCCAAAATCATTCCAAGACTTGGGTGCTTACTCTTAAAACCAACCTCAATGTCTATGCAATTTCAATCCAATAAAATCTCAATAATAATTCAATGTCAAAACTTTACAACCTGTATTGTTCAGAGCATCGACTTTGGCTTTGTTTTGGAATAATCCATTTAGTTTATTAAATATCCACGTAATACGGATGCAATGGGCGCTAGTGTTTGCAACTTTACAATACCAATATCGATCGAAATTGTATTCAAGAGTAAGCCCCTGATCTCAATAAAAATATCAATTATACTTAGTAAGAAAATGTAACTGACTGCATCCGGATATTAGCACATTCAAGCAAAAAGACTATGATATTAGTATAAATTGAAATTCTTATTTCTTACTTGCATTTTCCTTTAAAATATCAATAGGTAATTGATAAATATACTATATTATAATATAATATTAAAAATACTTTCTAGAACAATCTTCTGGGCCCAACAGCAACGGAAGCAGAAGTTACCACCACCTCGGACCCCCTCAGGCTTAATGACAGTTTTATAATTGTAAGAACTATTTAAATTTATGTCTTTCGCTTTTCTTTTGTATTATAATAATATGACTAACTTTTTATAATAACTATCGTGAGACATACTAAATTAACTAAAATCGCGAGTTACTCACGTGAATATACTGAGAAAAGCTTTACTAGTTTCGAACCACAGAGGGGTTCTTCCTCATGAGCATCATGCGCGGTCGCGGCGATGTCGCACAGTTCACAGTGGTTCGAAACTAGTAGAGCTTTTCTCAGTATATTCACGTGAGTAACCCGCGATTTTAGTTAATGACTATCTTTATTGTTTTTGTCTATATAGAATATCACAATTCCACCTCCAACACCTGCTGTCCAGGACCACCAGCAGCAGTCTGTGCTTGCTAGGAGCGACACCGAGCAGCCCATGTCTCCAGGCCCTCCTGCAACAAGACCTGCATTATCTAGGCTTACAAGTAAGCTACTATGCTACTTTACCTACTCAGAGCAATATTTCCAAACAAAAGGTTTGACTGATGTAAAGCTAGTAAGAATTTGCTAACTAATTTACATACTTTCATTTGTACACCTTAGATTAGTGCGATTTTGATGCTTCTAAATAATGTGGCTTTTAACTAAAAATCGCGGGTTACTCACGTTCTTCCTCATGAGCAGCGTGGGCGGGAGGGCAGTGTTGGATACCGCATGCTGCAGATTCATTCTTACAGCGGAATAATATTAAATATTCTCCAAATTGTTGATGTAATTGTGGCTTTGCCATCTTAATTTGTGAGATGATGGGGATGGGGCGACACACAACACTAAACAATTTACATGCCAAAACTTGTTTGCTTTTGTTTTAGGTCCAACACGATCGCGTCGCAGAATTTTGCAGGGCATTAGAAGACGTCGCCCGGTGTCACCATCATTGCAGCGACGTAACAACTTGTTAGACATGACTGATAAATTTTTGCAGATAGAGCATCGGCGTTTGGAAATAGATAACCGAATGGTCACTGTCATGGAACGCAACAGTGAACGGGATCATTTGTTGGTGGAGGCAACTAAAACTATGGGAGAGGGCTTAAAAGCTATGGCCGAAGGCTTGAAAGCTCTGGCAGAAGCAATTAAGCGATAATATAGCTATTATTCACTAGTTAATTCTTTAATAATTTGTTATTGTTATTGTAATATAAGAAATAAAACCACATTTTATTGTTTGTAAATCTTTATTTTTTGGAATTTATTTCAAGCAAATTAATAATACCTACATAACATGTAAATAATTATGCCACAAAACAACACTGTTAGGTCATCTTTTCCAATTTTCACTCCAGTTTATTTGACAGATCAATTCATGTGTAAAATGCTCAGCGTATTTCTTAACTCGACGAAGGTGAAATGCGAGATGACTTTCGATATGTCAATAAGAATATAAAATCCATCCGCTTTAGTTCGAGTTGCGGAGAGCCTAACGGGTTGCCGGGGCTCCGGCTCGAAATGCAGGAGTAGGAACGGGGTGGTTTTTAGTCAGTAAGATTCTGACACTCCCTCCCGCCTCATCCAGGCGGGAGCAGTAATTCGATGAATTCTCCGCCTTAAAAAAAACCCCGCTATAGTTCCTCGATTATTACTCGGTGGCGCTAGTGTTGTGGCGGTTCGGAATTTAAGATTGGGGACATTGGGAGGTCAGGACTCTCCTCCGCCTGGACTGGGCCTCAAGTAACTTCACGGCGAAACATTGTTTTACACCGGTTTTCTATGAGGCTATCACCTATGTAATATTCATGGATATTATTATCTACGTTAGAAACCTAAACTTGATTGGTATCAAATAAAAACAATATTTTCAGTAAATCTACGTTTAATTGTACTTAAGCTTACACATAATAATTATAATATTTATAAAGTCAAGTTTGTCAAAAGGAAGCTGTATATAGCTCGTTTTTTATATTATAAAATACAATTTTATATACCTATTTAAAAGCACCTAAACATTTGTCATATTCACCTTGATTTAGCAATGGCGGCAGCTAATGGTCGAACACTTAGCCGTGCTACATCAGTCGCGGGTTGCAGATTATCAAGCAAATCAGTAATAAGGAGTAAAGATAGGTAAGTTAAAAGGCATAAAGATTGTACATAAAATATGGTACCACCTACGAGATGAAATGCAATTTACCTAAACAAAAATGGCGCCACTGTAGCTTTTCAGCTTGTATGAGTTCTCAACATTTTTATTCCGCCTCAGTGCTATCACAAAGTAAATCTATTGATTGTGTGCGCGTTCTTGTGGCGTATATGTCATCTCGATTTCTTCGGTGGTGCGTGGTGATCTGACTGGTGTGACTGTGAGTGAGGTAGGGGCGGTGTCCTGGCCCTGCTCCACGGAGGCTGTCACCAGTTCCGTGGTCACCGTCGGCTCAGACCGAACCGATGCGTTGTCACGTTTACTCGGCGAGCTCTGGTTAGACCGTTGATGATATTTCTGAGTCTTCAATAGGTGGGGGATGACTTTCTGTAAATGTTTTGTTTTTTGTTAGATGATAGTGCAAAGGTAGCTTAGTTTTGCAGTCGTTGCATTTTTGACTAAAAAAGGCCTGTGGCAAATTCGTCGGTTGGGCCCCCGATCCCTATAAACAACAGAGAAGTTCAGATGAAAACCTCTGAATGGCGCTTTCCAGTTGGGGGTCTGTGTATTTTGCCAACTTACTGTAGTGTTTCGAATTTTTAGATTGGAGGCCTTATGAATTTTGTTATAAGGATTATAATCAAACTGTAAAGTTTAACCTGCTGTGGGTCTTTAGCGAGGTAGACATCAGTGCGTCGTAACACAAAGTCTTGTGCAGTAAGACACCGTGCCAGGAGGAGTGCAGCGGCGCAGGCCCAGCTGGCCAGCACTCCTGCGCATGCCCCTCGGGTAGCTGCCACCCGCGCACCGAACCCCCACGTAGAGTTCCACCCCAGTTCCAAGAATGGATCTACTGATGAGCAACTGGAAGGATAAAGAGGCCATTCAATATACTTATGTACCTACATACCTACTTATTCTACCTAACTAAGTACATTTAATTAGCCAAGCTTATAGAACGTTTATTTTTGGTGTAAGTAACCAAAGAGTTGACATTTGTCTGTATGGTGCAGAATGCGGATTAATGTTATGTAACCTAGGCACTTTATTATGCCTTTATTTTATTTATGCCTTTTAATGATGACACCGGAAGCCAGTTATTAGATTTATTTATTTATTTATTAGGTACACAAAACAGAAACACAGCACAATACACAACAGAGTAACATTACAAAACTGTAAATGGCAGACCATGCTTCCACAAGTATGTGCACACAACATGACATGCAACGACTAGTATTTATTTGTTAACAATTATTTATAATTAATTATAATCCAGAACAAAATTAGAGATAAATTGTAATAATAAAGAGAATTAAGAATGCAATTAGACAATAGATAAATTATTCAATATTGTCCTCATTATCGGACCGACCAAATAACAATTTCTTAACAATTTTTTTAAATTTGTGAAGCGAGGTATTGTGGATATCAGGCACGCCCATGTCACTCGAGAGTAGCTCGTTGTACTTGCGACACATCCTTATCACAGGATTGTGAGACGATACATTGTTGTTGCACATTGGCAAAGAGAAAAACATCTCGCGTCTAACAGATCTGGTAGGGATCCTGAGGTGAATCTGCGATAATAAGCTCGTGGCAAGGATCCCATTCATAATTTTAAACAAATATACCAAGTCCTGGTAGGACCGCCTAATTCCCAAGTTCGGCAACCCAAAATGAGCAGAACGCTGTGCATACGTCTGAAGTTCCCTTTTTAAGCCATACCTATGAGACATGAAGCGCACAAAACGGCGTTGAGTCGACTCAATCAGGTCAGTATGTACCTTATATTTAGGATTCCAGACTATTGACGCATACTCAAGTCTGCTAAGCACAAGGGACCTGTATAGGGTGATAGCACTGTTTTGATGTCTAAAATCTTTAGACATGCGACATATGAAACCCATAGTTTTCCTACATTTGCTGGAGATATCCGCACAGTGTACGTTAAAAGAAAGTTTGGAGTCGTAAATGACACCCAGGTCTCGTACTTCCGCTAGACGCTGCAAGATGTGGTCATTTGCGGTGTATTCAAAAGTGATTGGATTTTTTGCACGTGTGAATGTAATAACTGAACATTTATTCACGCTGAGATCCATGCCATTCAGTGCACACCATTCCAGCAAAGTGTTGATATCAGACTGTAACTGGTTACAGTCTGTAACATTGCCAACACGAGAGAAAATTTTCAAATCGTCCGCATATAACAATGAGTGGTTCAAGAGTTTAGGAATCAAGTCGTTAATGTATAATATAAAGAACAGTGGACCGAGGTGAGATCCCTGTGGGACTCCTGAGGGTATAGATACCCTGTCGGAGTTGTAGCTTCCGAGGGTCACAATTTGACTCCGATTCACTATGTACGATTCCAACCACCGCAAAAGGCTACCATGAATCCCCCAACAAGTATCCAACTTACAAAGCAACATTCTGTGATTGACTCGATCAAAGGCCTTCCTAAAGTCAGTATAGACACAGTCTACCTGTACATGATCGTTAAAAGCTTCAGAGATATAGCTCGTATATTCAAGTAGATTGCTGACAGTCGATTTTCCCTTCACAAATCCATGTTGTTCCGGACGTATAAACGGTTGAATATGATAATACAACTGGTCATACACTAGAGACTCAAACACTTTTGCGAAAGTAGATAATATGCTAATTGGTCTATAATTACTGCAGTCAGAAATGTCTCCAGCCTTATGAATTGGGACTATGTGAGCTAGTTTCCACCTTGCAGGAAATACACCCGATGATAGAGAGGTATTAAATATAATGTGAAGGGGTACCACCAGGGCCTTGGCACAGTCTCGAATGAAACAAGGAGGGATAGCGTCAGGGCCTGCACCCTTATTCCGATCCAAGTTTATCAACTTCCTGTAAATTTTACTCTCAGTTATCGAGACAGTGGACAGAGTTTGGTTAAAAAGAGGTAAGTCACAAGAAATACTCACCGGGTCAGCGCTCTCCTCCACGAAAACTGATGCAAAGTATTTTGAAAACATGTTACTTATTTTACCTCCGTCACTAACAGTTTCATTCCCTAGCTTCATGGTTTTCGATATTGCGCGGCTGTTTCTTTTATGCTTAATGTAAGAGAAAAATAATTTTGTAGTTGTCGCTAGAGATGATTCAATACTGGCTATGTAGTTACGGTAGCAATTTTTTATAAGTTTTTTTGATTGAGCACGTAATACGCAAAATTCGTCATAATCTCGAGGATTTTTGAACTTTTTATATCTCTTGTGAACGGCGATTTTCTTTACGAGACAAGACTTTAAGTGATGAGTATACCATATTGGATACTTAACACATCCAATACGTTTGGTAGGTACATTCGCCGCAATAACTCTGTCCAAAACGTCGTAGAAGCGATCAGTTATTATATTAATATCGTGATCATTCAATAGTTCGAACCAATCCACGTCATTCAACTGAGCAATGCAGCCATCAGTTTTACATTTACGGAAATTAGGGATCCTCTTTACTATCTGTGGCATGACTTTAGTTCTATTAGTTGAGATTTCTATTTCAATAGCAGGGTGATGGCGGTCAGGTGTAGACAACGGCAAACAGTCAGTAACGACAATACTCTCCATATCAGACATGCAAAGATCAAGAATCCTACCATTGTCATTATGTACGTGATTGTACTGGTGCAATCCAGTAATGTCTAAAAATTGGACAAGCAGGTGGGACTTAGTGTCGGTCGCGCTTCGCGGCTGCTGACGACAAGGAAATGTATCGTCACCCCCCCAAGTAACACCCGGTATGTTAAAGTCGCCTAATATTAAGATCCTTTCGTTCAAACCAGAGTGATCGATCACGGCATCCTGACATCTCTCAAAGAACCTGCTATATTCCTCAACACAAAGGCTGGGTGGTAGGTAAACCAAGTAAATATATAATGTAGAACCTCCCTCACAGCTCAAGGATATCGCCAGATCCTCGTATGAGCTCTCACGGTCGCCATGACGGGACACAATAAAACTTCTTCTACACGCTATCAGGACACCCCCACCAGTCTGCTTGCGAGAGCCAGTTGTTTCTCGATCTCTTCGAAACACAACGTACCTGTCATCCACAAACTCACTATCGCAGAATGAACTATCGAGATTAGTTTCACATAAACATATGATGTCATAATTCTCATTTAGTATATTTAAATATAATTCATTCAGTTTGCTTCTAATACGATTAACATTTTGATAATAAATTTTCATAAATTAGAGAGATACTGTTGATTGAAATAGCAAGACACAAGTATTGTAAAATATGATACAGATTACAATTCAATAATAAAATAAAATGAATGTAGGCACTATGCAATATATTACGTCAATTTATTCAAGCAGTCTTTACTTTTAATGTGTATAGCAGGACAATCTATATCCTTCTTTAAATAAACACGGCCGTATTTTACCCAAACAAACCTAAATGAGTGAGCCTTAGCAGCATGTCTAGCTGCAGCGTGGAGATCCTTACATTCCGGGGAGAGATGTTCACTTAGATATATTTTACGGCTTTCACCTGAGATACCCAAGGCTCCAGAGTTCAAAGAATTGTTTGGATGCTCTTTGTTGTATCTTTTAAGGCCTGATATGACATGGTCACGCAACCGCTCTGATCTCAATGTTACTAATATGTTTCGTGGTCTGTTTGAAATAGGATTAAGCTTTGCAACTCTTCGACACGATATTATATCGCTTTCTGATACGAGGACACCAAGCTTCTCACAAAGTTTCTTGAAAATAAGATCAACGTTCTCGTTGCGGTGCTCAGGAACGGCCTGAACCTCCAGATTACGGCACCTTGACGTTTTTTCTATTGTAAATAAACGTCGTTGCAGCTTGGACATTTCAAATAGCGTTTGTGACTTTTCAAGTTCAAGGTCATGAACGATTTTGTTTGTTGCCTCCAATTTTACCTTTAAATCATTCTGTTCCGACGCTATAAAATCTGTTGTTTGTGTAAAGTCGCGTTCCAATTTTTCTATAAGCGATTGTGGATTACTTTGCTCCAAACATTTAAGCCTGTCATCGTAGCTATCCAGACGACCGTTAAACTTAAATATGTCATCGAGTAAGGACTTTAAGGTCGTTTTCACCTCAACCATATCCGTCCGCAAGTATCTAATTTCTGAGATGAGATCAGCGAACGATTTCGAGTTTTCCGCCTCATGCCTTTCACTCACAGGAGAACCAACAGCCGCACGCTTATGGGCGCGAGACTGAACGTTAACATTTGAGCCATTGATATCAGCATCACTAGATGACAGCTGAACAGGTGTTTCATTATTATGGTATGTGCGAGGAGACTTGGAGCGACAAGATGGACATGACCACGAGTCGCGTTTTTTGTTTGTGTCAATTGATGTTGCATTGACACATATTTTGTGATAGTAAGCATCACAAACTGAACATTTTATTGGTTTGCCCGTGGTTATATTTTGTTTACAAGCCGCACATTGAGTGTTCATACTGCAGTTATTATCACAAGCCGATGATTATGATTTATGATTTATTTACACTACGAAGCATGTGCGTCCGCACTCGACACGCGTGCGAGCAGTCTAGGAATAGCCCGCTATGCTAGGAGCGACGGAGATGGCGCGCAAATGGTCACCGCGATGAAATTGTACCTGATCAGCTGTATGTTCGTAATAACCACAAACGATTTGCAAAAGTTTTTAAATCAGTAATGTCATCACAAATCGTAGCATAATTCACGAACTATTGTAAACACTGTGTAATGTTTTGGATTGTCACTGCACTAAGATAAGTTTTCAGCGTAATAATGCACTATTTACCGGAATTAACTTAATAACAACTGCGAGTACGGCGTTAACGCGTGCTAGCCGGACGACGTATGGAATCTCATTGCAGATAGTTTCTTGTTACAAAATAGACGTTCAAGTTCAAACCTTCGATCAACAATAGCAACTTTCATTAAACAAGTTTCCAGCCGCCTTTAACGCATAACATAACATCATGACTTTTCATACCCGAAGAGGTAGGCAGAGGCGCACACATTAAGACACTTAATGCAAAATGGCGTTACACCCAATTTTCATTATTTGTGTTATGAGTCCCATGTAATATAGGGGGTAAGCCTATTGCCATATACTGGACATAATTCCAGGCTCCGTGCTACTACTGAGATTTTAAAAATAGTCTAAAACGCCTTTATGGCGTGTTGTAAAGAGACTTTGTAATTTTTTCAGCATATTATCATAATACTTACGTAGTAGAATTAGTGACTTCGTAGAATGCTGCACAAAAGGCGTGCATACCTCTGTTGGTTAAAGCGAAACTGTGGCCAGTAACTCCTACCATCACCAGCGCGAACAGAAGCGCTGGAGTGAGGATCCTCCATGGTTGCTGGAGCCTGAACAAATACAGTTCCTATTAGTAAATAGGAATATCGGCAATTCAACACTTCTATGTTAAAAATCGGTTATTTAGACGATTGCTAGAATAAGTCCTACGCCCTATACAATTAGGTACGATGTTTTCTCCAGAATCCTTTTCTCCGAAGATCGGAATATCGTAGATATATATAAAGACCTTTTAGGGAGCATTAGGGATTCATTGACACGTTGATTAATATTATGCTAAATTATATCTCCCGAAAGCCACGAAACGAATTATTTTTAATGAATCGTCGTTAACAAGACTTCAACAAATCTTTCGCGTGACCTCCTTGGATTCAAGCCAACCAGTGTTGTTCTACATACGACTTTGATCGTGAATAATTAGTTTTTTAATCTGTTTGAACCACAGGTTGTAAAAAATAAACGACTTAAAATATGACCATCTTATATCATACTAGCAGCCCGTCCCGGCTTCGCACGGGGTAGACAATTATTTATTTTTAGAAGTTTGGATTGTTGTAGTGACATAACTACAATAGTTGGACATATGCTACCGCGGAGTTTTTGTAGACATTATGATGTTCTTCAATATTGTTATAGGTACATTATTTTGTTCTATCGCAAATAGTTTCGGCAGCGCATTCGACGAAAGACATTTTAAGACTCATTTTTCTACACCTTCGGTTACATTGTTCAAATTTTACCAAGGATCCCTAATTTTTTTAAAAATGAAATGTAGCCTATGTCAAATTGGAAGAATGTAGCATTCTATTGGTGAAATAACTTTTTAAATCGGCCCGGTACTTTTTGAGCCTATTCATTACAAACATACAAAAATAGGTACAAATCTTTCCTCTTTATAATATGAGTATAGATGAGTAATTTCGAACGAAACAATAAAACCGGATTAGAATACTATTCAGAATTTTGGGCCTAAAAAACATCTAGGTACGCCCTTTTTACTCGTCATGATGGTATTCTGTTAACTAAGGAATTACAAAATCGGAAAATCCATTAGTAGACCTAATTTCGTTCTACTGGTCGGTTCTATACTTAAACAGTCACTGTGTGAATACGTGGTAGGTGTATTTTCCTGTAGGAACCTAAGTTTATTTACTATTTTCCTCATCCTCATATAAGCTATAATCTAAGTATGTACCTAGCTACCACCTAGTGACCTAGCTTACTATCAGTGTATGACCCATAAATATAATAATTTCCAATTAATTTCATATTTCCGTAGTATGACCTTTTAGCCTGTGCAGACGAGTAGCGCACAGTAGTGGCGGTAGATTTCAACTTTGTTACGATATAATTTTGACATTTTTGAGCTACATACGAAACGTGTCGAAATTCTATCCCCAATGGCCAATATCTAGGAAAATCTATCAAAGATTTTCTTTAGAAGACCCGGTGCCCCTTACAGGCTACAGTTACCGATGGAAACAATTACACCGTAGTGGCTTTAGTGAGGAAAGCATAGGTACTTTTTTATGGCATAAGCCGGTAAACGAGCAGACGGATTACCTGATGGTAAGCAATCGGCGTCGCCCATGGACACCTGAAACACCAGAGGCGTTACAAGTGCGTTACCGGCTTTTTGGGGATTAGGAGTTTGAGGATCGTTGGGGATTCAGGGATTGGGAGATTGGGGAAGGGGAAGATAATTGGGTCTCCGGTAACCTCACTCACACTAAGAAACACAACGCAAGCATTGCTTCACGTCGGTTTTCTGTGAGGCCGTGGTATCACTCCGGTCGAGCCGGCCCATTCGTGCCGAAGCATGGCTCTCCCACACTTAAAACGTACTACATAGTAGGTCATACATTTAGTGTTCGCCCTCAAAAGTTAGACGTCTGCTAAACGTTTTCAGGCATCCAAACAAGGTAAATCTACTGATGCATACGAAGAACATATCTAGGTTACTTTGATTAAAAGTGAGACGGGTCGAACTAATTTGTATGTATTATAATATTTTTTTAATGAAATTGTTGTTATTCCTACCCAGTCCTGGCTCGTCCTCCCCTCGGACACATGGTGAACATAGTGATCCACACTGCAGCGAATATCATGGACATCAAGGGCATGAACTCCGCAAACTGACAGTCTCCATTAGATTCAAACAAAGTCCTCGTCGTATCCAACGCTAGGCGATGCGTTTTATTTTCTGTAATCAATATAAAAAGGAAAATGAGTTTCATGTCCTTTCATACTGAACAAAAAGGCGGTGTCTTTTCCGATTGCTCGGCCATAGTGCCGTACAAGAATACAGAAACATTTTGTTTGTAAAATAGTAGGTATCAATACGATATTTGGTCAGGTCGATATCAATAGGTACAGGTCGAGCAGTCGAAATAAAGGCAGTCTCAAATGCTTGGATATTCTACGTATAAGTAACACAAGTTCAATACAATACCTATAGACTACAGGGTAGGATAATATATGCTTTATTATTTACGAAAAACCATTAAAATATTCATCCTTTGATCCGGAAAAATGCATGCATTTCAAATATGTTCAAAAATATTTACACGCACGTGGCCATCTGAATTTGTGGAATTTCCAGTTAATTGAACAGCACTGAATCAAAACCAAATCATTATTGTTAGTAAATTTTGCCTCACAATGTTAGTAAATATTATTTTTGTGTACAAAACAATACACAAGCAAGGAAAAGTAGGTAGATGTGATGCCATTACGTTCAAATTTCCTTTTCATGGAGAGAGTTACAGATAAAAAAGTAATCCAAGGTTTTTTGCCGCGACGTAATACTGGCCCTTAACAAAAAAATAAAATAAGAATAAATCATACTGTTATAAAGCCACAGTTCCCAAAACATTCTTTGTAGAATGTTTATTTTATAGTAATACTACATTAGTGCAATTCCCGTCTAGAAGTAATAAAAACATTCGCATAATGAATCAGTATAAATAGCACTCGTTTTTCTATTGTTTCGTGTTTAAATGCAATGCTTATTTCTGTAGTCGTTCACATGAAGTTAATGGGTCATAAAACTTATTTCTCGATAAAAGTAATGATAAAAGAGTGCGATCAATAGCCACATTAAACGTACCGGTGAGGAAAGTCTCGCCATCCAATGTTGGAACTTCAGTTGTAGTTTCATTATCATTTGTTTCTCTTTTTACTTTTCCATTATCATCAGAGTTGAGGACGGTCGTGTTACCTTGAGCATCGTAAGTTACATTCTTAAAGTCATGTATTTCACTTAAATTTTGAGCTTTCAGTTCTACCGTGTGGAACTCCAGTTTGCGCGGGAATAACACGCAGTTGTCGTCCACCAACTGCATCGTGTTCTGTAGGAACACATAGTTGGTGATGCCGAAGACGGCTGCACAAACGTACAGTATTATGTGCCATGCTGAAATAAAAACAAATACTTGGTTTTATTCCTATTTTATTTAAATTTAAATCCTTCGTTCGTTTATAGGAAATAAACGATGAGCTATCAGAAATAACAAAGTATATGTATAGGAAATAAAAATACTATTGAAAATTGCAATTCGTAAGTGGTTGTAATTTAGCTGTTCCCTATTTTTTTATTTAATGTTAGACAGATGATAACTTTTATAAATCTTTTACATTTACATCATTGTTTATAGTTGCAAAGATTAGGAAATCTAAGCTTATGATCCTATTAACATTTTGACTTCCATTTTTAGGTGTAGGTGTTTACAAATGAATAAGTTATTTATGTAAGTGTTTGACGAGGTTGCTCGACTAGTTTCAATGCATGATGGGGCTCATAATCATAAGCAGAATGCGCGACAACTGACAGAAGGATAGAGTAACTATAATCATAGTTCTACGGAGCGATGTAACCAACATCAGACAACTCTATCAGACAATAATTTTGACATTTTTGTCAATTATTTCATACAAAATAATGTCACACGTCAATTTTATTCTGCGAAAAAAAAATCATCTGTTGATTGAAAAATCAGCAGTAATAATTGCATAGGAGTTGCGAGGGCGCCGGCTCCAAGTGCAGGAGTAGGAACGGGGTGGTTTTCAATCAGTTTGACACTCCCTCCCGCCTCACCTAGGCGGAAGAAGACATTCGATAATTCTAATCCCGTAAAAACATCTATAGATATTGTATTATTACTTAAAGTACATTTGCCTTTTGCATGTTGCATTAACAAGGATATAAATGACTTTTGGGTCATCGTTTTAAAATTCAACTGGCCTCAAAAGGTGTGTGTGCATACTGTGTGAGGTCATAGTGACATAACACCGATAAACGATGAGTACATGCGGGATCGAACCTGTTATCTGTCTGATTGAATTTACGATTAGATTTTAATTTTATTGACCTGCATAACCTATTTATACATAGGAGCGATACCTGACTATGATATTTAAGGACTGTAGAGCTATATTTTATGTTGGTAGATGAGATCTGATAGAAAGAGATGATCAATTAATTGGACATCCGGTAACCTCACTTACACGACGAAACACAACGCAAGCGTTGCTTCACGTCGGTTTTCTGTGAGCCCGTGGTATCACTACGGTCGAGCCGGCCCATTCATTCCGAAGCATGGCTCTCCCTCTCCCACACATTATTTATAGGTACAGGTAGATCCTATGTAAATTCAGACAACAGACTATCTGTTTCATATTTTCCAAGAACGACTGCTATTTATATCCTAACTATTCATATTCATAACATTGAGATTGAAACATTTAGTACCTACACCTACCCAATTCTGACACATCGTGTGTTAGTGTTGCAGTAAAGGAGAATGGCGACCCTATTTTGGGATTCATTGCTCGGGATAGCGTACATCATGGAGACTTACTAGTAGTTGTATTGTAAGGCGTGCTAAGGACTAACAAAAAAGCTAATAGTAAGTAGATACGTCGAAAAAAGTAACAGACAGCTAGATATGACGATAGACCTTATAAAAGACAATCCGAACCAAATGTATGGAATCTGCATGACCGTTGTTTTTTAAATAAGTGGTTCTATTTTCGAAATTCTCTTTTTGTCCTGATGACAAATTGAAAGTAGTCCAAGCATTATCAGAAATGAAACTCGAATTGTAATTAAAAAGTAAACTAGAACCATTTATCGTGGAAAGTAGTTCAGCGATACACATTGAGTCACCTTTATCGCAAAACGTCTGTTAAAGATAACATGAAACTCAAATGTGAAGTATAAGTGTGGAAAAAAATAGGGATAGGAGAGAATTTTCTTTACCTATCATCAGGAATCAGGCTTAGCATTACCTAATACTAGACCTTCCTACACTAACGGGTTACCGGTGCTCCGGCTCGAAGTGCAGGAGAAGGAACGGGTTGGTTTTTAGTCAGTAAGAGTCTAGCTGACACTCCCTCCCGCCTCACCCAGGCAAGAGCAGCCTTTCGATGATTTTCCCCCGTTAAAAAAATACCTACCTGAATGAAAAAAAATATCTGTTTGTCAGCATTAGATAAGTTTTGCGTATTTGTTCTCACCTTTCCACACATTAAGTTGACTGGAAGACTTCTCCTCCAAATCGTAGTAGTCGTACAAAAGTATCGTCATGTTTTCTTCACTCCATGGTCATGGAAGATCTGGAATAAGTAGATAGAAAATATACCCAATTATATATCGAAATGGATTTTTTGTGGGGAATGTAGTAACCAGGGAGCGATTGTAGTCTCGCTTAAACTTGAGAACGGGTGAACCGATTAGGCTAATTTTGATCTTGAAATGTTCGTGGAATGGACTTCCTGGAATGGAAGGTTTATAAGGTGAGAACTCAGTTGCGTAAAAAGCGTTTTTGAGGCGGTGCAAAGTTTGTCAGGTCAGCTAGTAAGTAATAGAAATACTTATTGTTTGATTTCGCTAAGTTCTTGTCCATTTGACCCATTAATGTAGAATTAATTAATTAAATAGATCAGCCATTTATTGCTGCTGTTGTAGGTCAATTAGCGTATTGAATTGACGCGTCCCTGGGGTCTATAATTTACGATCAGAATTAATGTTCTGAGTTCATTCCTTATGGAGTCGAAACTTCGTGTTTTGCCGAAAGTAGGACAAATTCGTCATGTAATATTGGAAATTCGGCGAACACAATTGGCGTCAATGTCGGTTTTAAATTAAGATTCGAACACAATTGGCTATTTTTAGACTAAAGTGTTAGTAGCCAGTGAGTAGTTAATTTTACTGTTTAGTTCGATGAATTTTCCTATTTTTCTTTTTGTATATTCTAAGTACATTGTTTTTGTGCAAATAGTTTCTCAGAGTCAATTCACCAAAAAGTATAGCAATTCCACACCTCATTGTGTTATGCACAAATGTTCTCAGTTCTCAGCAATAAAAAAATTAAAGGTCACTAAATAATGTAAAATTAACCCAGTTTTGTATATACAAAAGGCCAGTGATGTGCTTTGTATGTCATTTAGACGCCGGCGCCGCTCTCGTGCGTACAAATAGGTACCTACGCATCAACTGTCAGTCTCCCAACATTGAATTATTTCTAACCATCACATCACCGACCGTAAAGGAGACAAATATAGTGGCCAAGTTAAAATGAGATCAATGGACTATAAACTCTTGGCCAAATAGTGCTCTTGACTGATGAAATAGTTATCAAATTAATGAGTTTTGATGTTTTGTAAGTAAAGTTATTTATTTATTTATTCATATTGCACAATGTACATATAATAAGAAGTATTACATACAACTAATTCAGTACATACCCTGTCAGGTGCAGCAATTTTAAACGTTACGTTTAAGCAATTGAAATTTAAAACTATTTCTTAGAGTTATAACTGTATTAAATATTCTATAGATTTTTTATTTAAGTACTCAGTTATTTTATTAAAAATCGTTGCCCCACGCAAGGATTGTCTCCTGTGTCGTGTGTGCGTTTACAAACATACAAGTTCACATACACATGACACCCAGACCCGAAACAACAATTTGTGGATCACACAAAGAGTTGGTCCGTGCGGGAATTGATCGAACCCGCGACACGTTGCGCGGCAGCCGGTTGCTCAGCCATCGCACCACCGCACCAACAGTGCAGTGAAAAAAATCTTTGTTCTATGGTTGGCTCATCCTTAGGTATATTTTTGAACCATGTTTTATTTAAACTAGATAATTGAAATTTAGTCCCTAAAAGACTGATTCAATAACGTAACAAGTTTGTTTAATAATAATAATCAATAGTGGTCAAACGTCGGCCCATCATATATATAAAAGAAAAACTATAATATAATGTTGGAATTAGATATAAAATACCTAATTGCAAAGATCCCTTGCCTTGCCCTTGCAAGGCCGGAGTTGCGTCGAGACAAAAATAATCGCTGGAAATAGCAACAGGAAATACCTACATAAACTATATAGTATATACCAAGCCAAACGTTAGTTATTGGGAGTTGAATTATGTTATAAAATGTATATTTAGCTAAGCTGTGGCGCTGTTCAACGTTTAGCGTTATTGCATATAACATTTTCACCGCAGTTTTCAGTCCATCGTTTGTGTTTCGTCGTATTTCGCTGGAATTCATTTTTTTCTTTTAAAAAACGTTGCCCTACACTAGGATTAGGTAGCGTCCTACATCCCTTTCATCATCAACAGCCTATGATTGGCCACTGTCGAGCAAAGCCTCTTCTCTCACGGAGAAGGTTTGAGCATTAATCACCACGCTTGCTCAATGCGGGTTGGCATCCCTTTATAATAAAATATTTTCTACATAAGAAATGGCTAGAAAGTTAGAAGAAGACACCTACGTACACATATGTATATACCTCTATAATTTGTAAGGACAGATGGAAACATTGAAACTATCACGTCAGTAGGTAGGTCCAACGTCTGAACAGATCACGGTATTTATTGGCTAATGTCACCAGCATCGAAATAAACTAAGAATGATTGTCTCATCGCCTCAAATGTATTGTAAGGCGGCGAGGAGTCACGATCACAATGACTAGGCTTGACCTGATTATTATGTGTAGTTTCGTATTGAATTGAAGTAGGAATCTCCTCTTCTACCTAAGCAGGTAGAAGAGTCGGAGTCGCGGAGAACCTAACGGGTAACCGGGGCTCCGGCTCGACGTGCAGGAGAAGGAACGGGGTGGTTTTTAGTCAGTAAGAGTCTCCCTTCCGCCTCACCCAGGCGGGAGCAGTCATTCGATGATTTTCCCCCCTTAAAAAAAAAAGGCAGGTAGAAGAGGAGATTCCTACTTCAATTTTACCGTACGATACGTCTAAATTCAAACAGTTAATGGTTCAAACCATCACTATCGACTATGGTCCAATAGTGCGTGTGCTGCGTCTTTTGTTTGAGGCGTGGAATGTGTCCAAAAAAGAAATAACGGTAGATGGTATGCTATACCTAGTTCCTCATCAGTGATCCCCCTGCCACTTATTGCTTTGTGAAGGACAATTTTGGCTAATACTGATTCTCGCTTAGTAAATAATGTACCATGAATCGTCGTTATGGTTAATTAATATTTCATTTCCAATACTCATTTGGTACATTTTCCTTCCTGCGAACTTTGAACACTCATATTAGGATTTTTTATTAATATTTTGTATAAGACGTTGCAGTCAAAATAGCATTCAACATTAAAAACTTGCATTTAAAGAATAATTAAATAACTTAAACCAAATCAGAAACATTTTCTTACATAACTTATTTATTGTTAACTAGTTGACTCGGCAAAAATCGTACCGCCTCAGTTTTTTTTGTCACCTTTTAAACCTTCCCTGGACTCCCACGAACATTTCAAGACCAAAATTTGTCAAATCAGTACAGCCGTTCTCGAGTTTTAGCAAGAACTAAAGAACGGAAATTCAAATTTATTTATATAGATAGATTTTAACTTCCCAAAGGTTCTGATTTTGAAGCTTTCGTATAATGCGCGTCTTGGTTCAATACTCCGACCGAGGTCACCCACTTCGGATGTAGTGTATTTCGTTACTATGGTCACTGCTCAAGCTTATTCGACACCTATATTTAACAATTACGTACTACCTACTTAGGTACCTACCTGTGTACCTATTGCTTTATGTACCTATAGTTATTCTCTAATAATCTTCTGCCCAAATTAAATATTGTTTGTCTCTGCTTAACATGCTGAGTGTCGCACTTAAGTATTGTAAATTAACTATTTTTTTATCATTTATCTAGTTCTAGTTATTTTGTAGTTTTAGTAGATCTAGTTTTTTTATGGGAAAAGACGGAAAACGAGCTAACGGTTCATCTGATGGTAAGCAATCGGCGTCGCCCATGGACACCTGGACCACCAGAGGCGTTACAAGTGCGTTACCGGCCTTTTGGCCTTTAGAAATTAGAAGATTGTTGGATATTCAGGGATTGGATAAGAGGGGTGGGGATAATTGTGCCTCGGGTAATCTCGCAGATACGACGAATCACAACGCAAGCTTGTTTTACGTCGGTTTTCTGTGAGGCCGTGGTATCCCTCCGGTCGAGCCGGCCCATCTGTGCCGAAGCATGGCTCTCCCACACTTAAATTATTATTACTAGATTAGGTGTTCAAAACTTCAAAAGCTATAATATTGTGGTTTCCATTACTGATTGTTCTTAGGCAACAGTAGGTAGAGTAGGAGGTACCTACTTGTATTGAATGATTTCCCCTGAGGTTCCACTTTACTGAGTTATTGGCGCATGGTGTTGGTGACCATATACTCATAATATCTAATACCTATACCTACGTATGTAATGTAATACGGTAATACTTGTTATAGCATGGTCATGTTACTACCTATACATATACTTAGGTATGTACATGTAGAGAAACATAGACTAGGTCGTGTCAATAGATAGCTAGCGAGCATTTAGTGCGAATACCTATCCAAAAAGTATTTTATTTTTATCTAACTTATAAAACGAGGTTATAGTTTTACATATATCCCCATCCTCATTGTGAATTGTTATATTATCATAGGTACCTATTAACCTATACACATAAATAAATTTTCTATTTTGTTAAACACTAATTCTAATTCATAGTGTCTAGTACTTACCTGATAATTTGTAAAATGTCAGTAAGTAATTGGAACTATTGACTTCTTGTAGGTAAGGCGAAAAACTATTAACTTTCTTGTTTCATATTCACACTTCGCCGTCTAGTCGGCCAAGCAACGTGTGAATCGTGACATCATTCTCGGTTAATTTTAATTATCGACACAGTACTGTATGAATGTATGAATTCCCAAAGTACATAAACACATTAACAACTCCACGCGTAATTAATTTCTATAATTTATGACTATTTTTTTCGTGTATTAGCTATAGAATTGAAGTAGGTATTTATTTTGGTACTTTCTTTAATTATCTTCTGTAAAAATACATCACGAGTTGATTGGAGAAGACAATAAACAACATCTTTTGCTACGCTTTCCATTTTAAATGTTTTTACAACTATTTGAAGGTACTAATTGTAAGTTTCCTGCCATTCCCTGTTTTCACATTCCTTCTTATAAAAACTCAGTTTTTACAGTAGACATTTTAATTATTTTGAGTCGGCGCACTACCCCAAAGTGCAGAATACTTCAATTTTAACATTTCTTTTAAAGAAAAAAATCTTGATCATAAAG